GCAACCAATATATATTATAGTCGTGCTTACTAGAAAAGATAACTCGTCCAAGTATTTAATAGCAATACTGAAATGAGTAAGACAGGGAAAGGAATGGGCGAAGACAAGGATAGCACTAGAGACATGAGTTACACAAAGAAAGAATTAGGGATAGACAAAGGTACTTATATAGCACTAGAGTAACGAGTTAGATAAGGAAAGAAATAAGGGTAAACGGGGATAGCAGTAGAGAAATGAGTTAGACAAGGAGAGAAATAGATATAGACAAGAACAGAAAATTTTTAAACGTGAAACTAACGCCATCTCGCGTTTGGTTCCGCGAACTAACGATTCGTTACTCGGAACACAGAATGTGAACAGAGGTATTAGACAAGGAACGCACTACTGTGCGAGAAGGATAGAGAGAGAACGCTTCCTATTGGACCGCGGGCTGCTAAGATCCACCTATCAGGCCCTAAATTAAGTTGGCCGGTGAAAAATCACTAATAACTCAATAATTACGATGATTTTGTGAACTTTTAGAATTGAAGAATGAAGAGTAAACCTTTAGCAACTTTCTCATATAGATTTTAATTCACTAAACCCTTTCAATAATTAGTTACTAACAATTATAGTAGGTGATGTCGGGAACGATACCGCATACTGTCAAGTACTTTTACGGTTTTTCAATAATTTCATAGCTTTCTGCAAAATTCTCATGCAACTAACTACATACATCTAAAAGGTAACTCCTTTAGCTACATTCCTATGTAATTTTTATTAACATATTCGGTTTAGTTTAAAAGTTATTAAATATTATATGAGAGAGTCCCCTATTCATCGTACTCGAGTATAGTCAAATGTTGTAAACAGTTACTAATATCTAATAAACCACATTGCTTATGGCTACAAAAATTTTTGTAGAATATAAATCAAAGTCCATTCTACGTTCTACATCCTTCAAAGTGCATAATTAATCACGTCTGCCTATTGAAATAACGAAAATTTGTTACGCTTGATTGCAACGGGTGTAATACTCACCCAAAGAATGTTAAATAACTACCGAACCACAAGGGACGTGTTAATAAAGATTATATGAGAATATAGCCAAAGGAGTTGCCTTTCAGATGTATGCAGTTAGTTGCATAAGAATTTTGCAGAAAGCTATGAAATTATTGAAAAACCGTAAAAGTACTTGACAGTATGCGGTATCGTTCCCGATATCACCTATTATAATTGTTAATAACTAATTATTGAAAGGATCTAGTGAGTTAAAATCTATAGGAGAAAGTTGCTAAAGGTTTACTCTTCATTCTTCAATTTTAAAAGTTAACAAAATCATCGTAATTATTGAGTTATTAGTGATTTTTCACCGGCCAACTTAACTTAGGGCCTGATAGATGGATCTTAGCGTTCTCTCTCTATCCTTCTCCACAGTAGTGCATTCCTTGTCTAATACTTCGGTTCACATTCTGTGTTTCGAGTAACGAGTCGTTACTTCGCGGAGCTAAACGCGAAATGGCGTTAGTTTCACTTTTAAAAATTTTCTGTCCTTATCTAACCATATTCCTTTCCTTGTCTAACTCATTTACTGCTATCCTTGTCTCTCTTCGGTATTGCTGCCCTCGGTTTCTCAATTATATTTAATGAATACTTATAATTCACTTTAAATTGCTTTAACATTACTAATAATATAGATATTAAACCACAATTTCTGGCTATTTTCAAGTACTTTAATTGTAGAATAATTAGTGATTCTTGTTAAATAACAATTTAGATGGTTCTTTATACTTACTGGAATTCTCACATAAAATTATTATATGCTTTTATTATATTATATGCTAATGTCACGATTAGTTCTAAAATTGTCTACTAGCTGGCAGCATCATCCAATAGTCCTAGTGCTGACATCTGTAGTTACAATACAGTACCTCAGGTAAAAAATTAAATGTTAATGTTAACATAGATAAGGCCTCTACTTTAAAGCACAGACGAGAGATAGAATAGACCATGGGTCGGAAACGCGGTGCTCGCGAAGCAATTTTAAAGTGCCCGCTGTTAAAATATTTAGATTCTAAATGTTTATATACGTTTACGGTTTTTCAATAATTTCATAGCTTTCCAATGAATTCCCATGCAAGTATCTACATGCATCTAAAAGGTAACTCTCTGAGCTACATTCTCATATAATTTTTATTAAGATATTCGGTTTAGTTTAAGAGTTATTAAACATTATATGTGAGAGTCCCCTATTCGTCATACACGGGTATAGTCAACTCTTATAAACAATTGCTAATAACTAATAAACCGCACCACTTATGCAATTAAAACTATTGCAGAATGTAGACAATGGTCCATACTATATTCTGCATGCTTGAAAGTGCATAATTAATCATGTGTTTCCATTGAAATAACGAAAATGTGTTACGATTGAATGCCATGGGTGTAACACTCTCCCAAAGAATGTCTAATAACTCTTAAACTAGACGAAATATGTTAATAAAAATTATATGAGAAAGTAGCTAAAAGAGTTGCCTTTCAGATGCGTATAGTTAGTTGCACGAGAATTTAACAGAAAGCTATGAAATTATTGAAAAACCGTAAAGGTGTGCGGAATCGTTCCCGACATCACCTACTAAAATTGTTAATAATTAATTATTGAAAGGGTCCAGTGCATTAAAATCTATATGAGAAAGTTTCTAAAGGTTCGCACTTCCTTCTTCAATTCTAAAAGTTCACAAAATCACTCTAATTATTGAGTTATTCATGATTTCTCCCTGTCCGACTTAATTAGTCCGAGGGTGGGGGAGCTTAGATGCCCGGCAGCCAATAGGAATCGTTCTCTCTATATCTTTCTCACAGAGTAGTGCATTCTTTGCCTAATATCATTATTTACGATGAATTTGTGAATATTTAGAATTTAAGAACGAAGTGTGGACCTTCAGCAACTTTCTCATATAGATTTTAATGAACTAGACCCTTTCTATAATTAGTTATTAACAATTTTAGTAGGTGATGTCGGGAACGATTCCGCACACCTTTACGGTTTTTCAATAATTTCATAGCTTTCTACTAAACTCTCATGCAACTAACTATATGCGTTTGAAAGGCAACTCCTTTAGCTATATTCTTTTATAATTTTTATTAACATAT